CCTCCCAAGTAGCTGGGACTACAGGCGCCTGCCACAACACCCAGTTATTTGGTTGTAGTTGTCACTGTTGTTTGGCAGGCCTGGGGTAGATTTGAACCTACCAGCTCTGGTGTATGTGGCTGGCGCCTTAGCCACCTGAGCTTTAGGCACCGAGCCTCCACCTCTCCCTTATGATGTGACCCTCTGACTCTGTCTCATCAGTAATTGTGGAATGTTGAGGGGGAGGTTATAAAGCAGGAGCCAGCTTCAAGGAGTTACAATCAGTTCCTAGGTAAATACTAGGGGAACAGAAGAAGGTAGGTCCTTCAGCCTCCCGCAGGGAGACCACAACATGAAGCAGACCTCAAACCAGGAATGCAAACTGCCTGGCCCACTACTCCCATGCTTGAAGTATGAAGAGAAATCAGCCCAGACAGCTAAGACAGAACCCTTTCCCAGGGCTGATAGCTGAGGTCTAGGTACCCCCAACACCTCAATGACCCTTTCCTCCTCTTCTGCCTGGAGGGAGGGCTCTAGAGCCACAGGCTGGCCCAGAAGCTAAATCCCAAGACCTGCATTCTGGGCTTTCTGTTCTGCACTTTTTTGTTTGGCCAGGGCTGGGTTTGAACCCACCACCTCCAGCATATGGGGCCAGCGCCCTACTCCTTGAGCCACAGGCGCCACCCTCTGTTCTGCACTTAGTCTCAACATAATCTTCCTTTCCCACATGGCCCATTTCTTCTGATAGTTCCCGTCCATGAATTGAGCCTCAGGCCATGAACTTGCTAGTCAGACACACATGGATGGACCTGGCTCCCCTAGGAGGGCCTGGTCCCTAAGTGACCACTCTTGTGGCCTGTCCAACACTGCTGTGAAACCCTGAAAAGAGCAGTAATAAAGGGATGACTATGGAGTCCATACAAAGGAATGCCTCCTGTGAGTCACTCTTGTGTGTTCTCACTTGAGCCTTGCAACAGGCCCTGTAAAGCTGGTATGATTACCTTTACTATGTAGATGAGAAAACAAAGATTCTAGAGTAGCGGTTCTCAACCTGTGGGTCACGACCCACAAGAACTATATTAAAGGGTCGCGGCATTAGGAAGGTTGAGAACCACTATTCTAGAGGTTAAGAAAAGATTCAAGGGCTCGGCACCTGTGGCTCAAGTGGCTAAGGCACCAACCACATACACCTAAGGTGGCGGGTTCAAATCCAGCCCAGGCCCACCAAACAACAATGCCGGCTGCAACCAAAAAATAGCCAGGTGTTGTGGAGGGTGCCTGTGGTCCCAGCTACTTGGGAAGCTGAGGCAGGAGACTCATTTGAGCCCAGGAGTTGGAGGTTGTAGTGAGCTGTGATGCCACATCACTCTACCCAGGGGGACAGCTTAATGCTCTGTCTAAAAAAAAAAAAAAAAAAGAATACACAAGGCCATGGGCATAACATTAGAATGTCTGCAAAGTTGGCCAGGATTGGAATAGCTGAGAACCAATGTAAAACAGCAGAAATCACATAGGTGGCAAAACCAGGTGGCAAGGAATAGAGCCCAGGCCTTTCTTTCCCCTTTGAAATCAGCAAGCTTCACATACCTCAGGATGGGAGATGCATGAGCATATACTCAGCAGGTCAAGACAGGTTTACATCATAGAAATGACTAAGAACTTGCATTCTCATAAGCTTGAAACCACTTGTAAGTAAAACGGATTCCACATAGAGTTCCATCCCCGAGAGCGGCAGGCTTTCCAGTTTCTGCCCTGGTAAGACCCAGAGGTTTGATGGAGTAGCTCAGGCTCTAAGAAACAAACATTTCCAGAATTGCCCCCAGTTTACTGATGCAAACAGCTCTTGGTTCCCAGGTACCCCAGGCACACCTTTCTCATGTGGGAGCTTCTCCATCCCCATGCAGAGTCCTGCCTCTAGCCTGGTATATAAGCAGATTCTAGGCTCGGCAGCTATGGCTCAAGTGGCTAAGGCACCGGCCACATACACCTAAGGTGGCGGGTTCAAATCCAGCCCGGGCTGCCAAACAACAA